TATAAACGAGAAGATTATTTTTCCTGTATGGGTGCCTGGCGGTGAGGCCATAGGTACGAATCCCAATGGTCAATTTCCTTTTTTCAGCTTTTAGTGTTCCAGAATACGGCGATGAGTTCGCCACGTACCATTTAAAGGTGCTGTGAAAATGTACGTACTAATAAACTAAAATTAAGATACGTTAGTGCTTCGATTCATACTCGTTTATGTAATCCAAAAAAAAAATAAGAAATCATATTATGAGCAAAAAGTAGTACCAAAACGAATATGCGTGATTTTATCAATAGGATTTTATCTTTTAGTTCAATTTGTTCGCCATTGGTATGTTTTGTCTACTGTGAACTCTCTTTTAAATAAATGTTTATGGAAAGGAATCTCTAGAGGGACTATAAATGAAGCAGTATCTTCCTTCTTGATGTAGATTGTTAGGAAACAAGCATAGGCACCATTTATGTTCAACAGCAAAAAGCTGTTAGCTGTGGTTGCGTATTGAGTACTTCAACTGTGCCCTTACTAATGCTAATATAACAGTTTAAATATTTAATTGAGTAGTCTGATTGGTGGAGGAAAATGTTAAGATTGTTTATGGGCTATCTGATTGGCTCACGTAAGGCAGTAAATTAGTTTGCGGCGAGTTGCAAAAATTGCGAAGCTATAGGCTTACGGCCTCTGAACCTGTCTTAAGCTGCATGCTTGATTGTATGTTGCAAGCTTCATAAGAAGCAGCGTGTTCTATAATTATCAGTAAAACTAGTTACGTATGTGTATTTAAATGTACATATGCCGACAACTCTGCTCCTGTCCAAATCCAGTTGTCGAAGCGAATTAGCGAATAGATGCGTGATTCATTAGCAGAGAGCCTAAATTCGATGAAATTGCCGTGGTTTTTATTTCTATGCATAGCACTAGATTCATTTGAATTTTGTTGACAGACACGGTTACAGAATAATCTTCGTTTAATTTTTATATGTTATCCCTTTATTTTTATCCGTTTATATTATATTTAAAATTTGATTAGTTTACTCTCGAACGTTTCGATCAAAATTTCAAGGTATAAATAATTATAATATGTATAAAAGATTGCAAATAACTGATGTTTAAGTTATATATGTAAAACGTTCTTTATCTACATGTTCTCGAAGATTATTTTTTACAAGGAATTCTTTAACCGGTTTGTATCGAGATTTCCTCGATTTATCTAATCGTAGTAGAGGATGGTTATGCAGTCGTGTGTCCCGATATGGCCAAGGCATTATACCGGTCCAACTTGGCAGGGCACCGGTCGAAATTCCTGATTGCGCGTTTTGTGAGGTGGACCGTGATAAGTTTCTATTGTTTAACCGAGTTCGGAATGACCGCCAGAAGTTCGAGAAAATTAACTCAATGAAATTACGAAATAAAATATAAAATGAACATAAAAACGTTTTGAAGGTCTTTAAAAATTGTTGAAATACAAATTTTAGATCTTTTAAGAAATCACCTTCATTACCCTAATGGTGATTCACCAATGTACTTTTGTTACAAACATATAAGATTGTTCAAAAATAACTGTTTAGTGATGAGCTATTCGCTGCGTTATACCTTTCCCTATAGCGAGTAATGTTTGCCACATGCACGAAATTCAAGGGCAGTTTACTATATACATTACTCGTGCGCTTATATAAACAAACAATTCAAAGGAAACACTTCGATTTACAGAATTGGTTATACAACGTGGTTTGAAAACATAACACTCAATTTTCATTATTCTGTCTCTTATTTATAACGTTTAAATCTTGTTTAAAACAAACAACTTTTGTGAAAATCAGCAATTTAATTGTAGGCTCACAACAGCCTTCGCTGTTGCACGAATGAGCTTGCTGGATGCTCGTCTACCACGACTCCACAGGAGACCGGGCATGAAGCGGAAGTTTTATCCTCTTTCATTTAATCAATTCAGTTAGGTAACCTTAGCGTCATTTTAGGTTTGGTACTGGTATTGTAGATGTCCAGTGACAGTAATCACTCAACGTCAGGCAAACGACCTGCTAACTCGTTAATTGTCTCGGTTCATCAAGTTATTTTGGTACAAAATCTTTAGCTTGAAATATTAAAAAAATAATCCGCTTATACTTGCTTTCACATATTTTATAGGATTAAGTAATACCTGTCAGTTTTAAAGAATTTTAAAATCCATGAAAAATAATTTCTTATAGCATCTATTTACATTAATTGTTCATCAATGTATTATTAATATGTAAATCCTCTATAAGAGAATGTCTCACAATTAATCATAAAAAGGCATTTAGTTTGATTGTTGAAAATATAAAAATTGGAATTGCTAATATTTTTTACTTTATTAAGCATTTTCCGTTATCTCTGATTTTCTCTTTTAATGACGTCGTATATTTAATTTAAAATAAATCTTATTTCGCTGTCTCGAACATGCACGCAAATTGACATTGATAACATTTCGTTTCCTTTTGGTAATGACTGCTTTCAAGAATCGTGTGATATATTTGTTTAAAATGACCTTTTTGACAGAAAGTGGTTGTTATTGCAGATATTTTTGCATCATATCTGGAATAAACTTTTATACGTCTATACACAATCTTAAAAACTTATATGAGTATGTTAAAATTACTTCATAGAGTCTGAAAAAGATAAAAATTCAATTTAAATTTCGTAGTCCATCTGCCTGTATCGGCCACGGTCTTAGTTAAATCTCATAAAAGTACTAAGGTATAACTGACTGCACTGTAAAAGTGCCCTAGTGTCTATGACGCTATTTGAGTATTTTTACAGATTCAACATGCGACCATTTTAATAGTTTTAAAACATAAATAAAGTTGCTGAGCTGTCTGTTGTTCGATTCTAGGATTATAATTACTACGACCCTACTAATAACAGTTCCGGTTTATGTGTTTTTATGAATCAATGCCGTTCTGGTTTAATCTTTCGTTTATATTATTTTCTGTAACTATCTAATATATAAAATTATCGTGTCACAGTGTTTGTAATTGAACTCCTCCGAAACAGACTCCGAACAGACATATCGGCCAGAGTGGAGAATCGGACGATTTTCATCCCCCTAAATGTTAAGGGTGGTCCACCCTAAACAGTTTTTTCTACCCTACAAATTCCCTAGAAATAATTTATTTGGTAAAACAATGTTTGCCTGGACAACTAGTTTACTTATAATATTTTATTTGACCGTATCTACCGTATAAAGAAGAATAAGTAAGCGTATTTATGAGCGTCTACTATGGATTATTGATTACTTAAGCCTATCGGGAATCCTCAGAAGTTATCACGACGCCCACCGAGTAGCGTGGGTGAGCTGACCACATCTGAAAATAAATCTAGACTGTGGGACAACTGGTTATACAGGACAATAACACGGTATGAACGTTCTACCGTCCGATATGAATGCATGGATAATGGTTTCGTGTCTTGGAACGGCAATGGTGCAAAGCGTATTTAAATACGAGTAACTGTTTATGGATAACCTGATGGATAACTGTTCGTACATCTTATTACTAAATGCGTAGGTAACAGGAGAATACTCAACTTCAATGATATTCATATTTAAATAATATTTTATCAAGTATTTTAATAAGTTAATACGTTTGTTATTTAAATAAGATGTAATTTAATAAAAAAAACGTATATTGCATTTTGCCTTGAATAAAGATTAATTATATGTTGCTTTGGAAGCAGTTAGTACTACCGATATCAATAAAATTGCAAACGTTAATCTTTTTCTGCAAAGAAAATGTCTCAAATTTATCGAACATTTGTTTTCAGTTTTGTAAATACAAACTTTATTAATTGCAAGGCCAGATGAAGCATAAATAGCCACAGATTGTAAACACAAACATTATGAAACAAATGTAAAGAAAAGTTAGTATATATTATAATACCCTTTCTACATCTACAAACACCCAGGACAACTTTAGGGGCGCTGACTATTCCATTAATTGATTTAAACTTGGTAAATCAGTCTCATCTATAATCGTCAAATCTATAATCTACCTAAGGTAATGTTTACGAATCAAGTTGTGACAAACGCCTATGGGCAGCCATTGAGTATGATTCAGATGGTCCAACCCTCGCCGTAGAACGGAGCGGTCATCGCCTACGCGACTAAGCAATTTCATTTTAAGGCTCTCCAACGGTAATGGATCATCTAACGCCCGCAATAAACGTTGGTCCCGTAATGTAGGGGCCATTCGGCTGTGCTGCGGCACTTACTGGGCACCCTGGACGTTTGCAGCCCGCGATCGTTACCGACGGTAATGACCATCTCAGGGAAGCGCGGGTGTAAATCTCGAAGTGAAACTAGTTTGATTTATTGCTGGAAACGTGCTCCTTTTATACAATGAAATTAAATGCAGAAAAGACTAAGATATAGGTAAGCATAATATTAAAGAAAGTGTATAGTGAGGGAGTAATTGTGAATAAAATGTTATTATGTTTTGCTGTTCAGTCCAAATCCTATTTCTTTTAGGATTTTCATATAACTTTAATTGTTCCTTTATAAACTGAACTATAAAGACTATGGAAATCCTGAAGAAATCTGCAAAAAAGATCGTTATTCCGTTGCCATTTTAAACTGAATAACGCATTCAGACTGTCAGAGTAACGATGGCAGTAAAGTTCCAGCTTCCGCGTACGTTTTATTTCGACGTCGACCACAAAACAAGCGGAAGTTTACTGCTTTTGTACTCCTTAGATCGCTGAAGGCAAGTATTGCACAATTTTTTACGATTTTTCGCCAAACCCTGAAGGGAACAGTGTTTTTTTGGGTAACATAGATGATTTCCCTTTCTTATACGATTCTAAATCATGCATTCTTTTATCAGGACGTTTGTGGTCAACATCTAGAGATTGATTTTTCTTCCGCAAAATTACTCGCGGTAAACGATAATCGAGTCGCTGGCTACAGCGCACAGCTCATTTCGCGTTCTTCCTTTCGCATTGCGGTCTGCGGGCCGTAAAAGCACCATTATCCTCGTCTAGATTACTTCTGCCCGCAAACGACTGGGTGTTTTATAGGCAAGGCTGGAAATGCCGACGCGCGCTTCGCTAATGACCAGCGGGGTGAGACTCCGCCGTCTCCGGCACAAACTAGACACGGTGCCTGTCGCCAAGTCCGGTTCGCGCTTCGCAATTTGCTTCGCGGTGTCATTCACCGTGACCATCTGGCTAGCGTGCAGCCGAGCGCGCAAACTCGATCGCGCATTATATCGAGAATAAAAGTGTGGGCACATTCTAAGCGAGCGCGCGTGTATAACTAGAGCGCGCTTGAATACCAGTTTTGAGGGTTTTTAATTTCGCACCGGCGGAACGGGTATATTATCGAAAGACATTCGTGGCGTCTTGCAATTAGTTTGTCGGTATCCACACAACAGCGTATTACACAATATCGACGAACGTTACTTGTTGCCCAACGCGCCGAGTGCGAACTTATTTTTTTATTGCGTACTTGAATGATCTCGAGGTTCCGCTGTAAAGATTCGCCTTTGTCTGTTTTTCGTGTTCAAGGCAAAAGTACATCATCATGCGCTCAGATAGAATGGCGATCAAACACTGGTCAGTTTCTTATTAAAAATAGCTGAAAGCGATAAATTTATTTTCTGTGTTCGCATTATGATGAACTGTTGAGGGTCGATCGCATTGTTCGCGTCACTTCGGTAAACCGATACGTGATTGACATAATTGCAATGGCAGACCATACGAATGATGCGGGCTTCATCATTGCATCACAGCACCGAGTTTAGCATGCGACGCGGTGATTAATGCGCCGATTGTTTTACAACTGATAAAGAATATACGCTATTCCAATGAGTAGTGAATAGACCCTACGTCCAAACAGTACTGGACTACAACGCTTGGTTTTTAGATAACTAAAAAACTCTGATGCAATATCACTAAAATATGCACTTCTCTCGATCATGTACCTCTCGATTTATATATTAGTCTAATCTTAAACTGTGGGGTAGTTATTTGTTAAAAGAATATGAAAAAAATCGTTTTCTAGATCATGGGTAATATTCTTTTTACCGTCAAATAAAACTTATTACGCGCAGCTTATGCTCTCAAATAAACAACATAAATGTTTCGTGGTTCCGAAAAACGAATGCTCAATATATAGAGATTTGGAAGCCTAATAGGGAAGTCAATTGTTCGATAGGTAATTTGTTATTCTTTATACACGGCGATCATTTTAACCTTTGATCAATGTGCCATAATACTGACACAAGCAGCCATGAGAAAAAACGCCGCCAAGGCTTGAGTAGAAGTTGAACACGTCTTCACAGACAAAATTATAATAACAGACGGAACTAGAAAAAACGCTAAACTGAAGCTTATCGACGTGATAAATATTAAGTAGCCACCGAATTCTGAATAGACCCGTCTGGCACCGTGGAGGGCGATGCATAGATGTAACCTTTTCTAAATAGTCACGTTTTTCTAATGTCGTCATAGAGCGGTGTCAATATTGTCTATGCATTAGCACTTTAACTAAATTCTAATTCCTACAACATTGTCTAACTATTTAATAAAGCTCCCGTACTTATAAGTGAAGTTTTACTAGTTAGTTATGAAATGTTGAACTTTTCATGATTCATAAAATGACGTTTACTTACTAAGAATAAAGAAAAAAATTTCAATAACAAGCTGAATAAACAAAGACACTTGAAGAAAACTTTACGGCAAATAAAAAAACCCAAAAAACAGAAAACTGAATGTTTGATATGTGTACGTAAGCAGTCACGCAGTCGAGCCGTAAGGTCGCCCATATTTGTGCAAACATTACGGAGATAGCGAAGTTTATGCTCGTAAGTAACCGAGATAAAATCGTGCACGAATAGAATAATCCTCCTCGGAATGAATTCCTACCTGCGCCCGACGAGGCGACGCCCAATTCCTTTCTATATCTTCAACAAAAAACCGTTTCCTACACAATCTGTTTACAAGACCTCCGACACTGAGAACCTTTGTACTTTGCCTTCGCGTCCGAAGCGGTATTGGCGGGCGACCTTTTTTTGTCCGCGTGTTTTTCATCGAATTTCGAAGTTTTTTCAACCGTGTAGCCTCCAAATTCGATCCTGCATTATTCAAACGTTCCGTTAATGTTACTGATTAATTTATTCTATGTACAGTTCATCCATTCGTTCTTTCCAACGTAGAATTATATAATCGAAAGACATTCGTGGCGGTTTATTTGCATATCTGATGTCACATTTTCCTTGTATTGTACAATGCGTTCCATATTCTTCATTGAAATATCGTTAATTCGTTCGAAAAATGTCAGTGATTTCGCATTTGCGGCTCGTTCGCAAAACAAGTGGGTGAGTGGGCGGTGTCATTGAAATAAATATGCCTGATTCATCATCCTACACGCCTCCGATTTCGCCCGTCATTTGGATTGACTTTGCGCAATAAACGCACTATGCATTGCATAACTGAGGCAGCAGAAGCCCTATTAGATATTAGCAGCTGACTTCGTTCAGACACCAATAGACGCCAATCGCGTGAAAATTCAATTCACACTGTGTACTTTGTCCAATACGTCAACAAGTCTCCTCCGTCCGGTCCGACCTTGTTCGCGGGCAAACAACAGTTTTATCAGCGACTCACTTTCCAGTGGATGCGGCCGATAATTTATTATTTTATTTATCACACGTTTGGTTGAAATATTCAATTATCATCGGATGGCCAAGTTATGTTGGCAAAGCAACAAAAGCGATTCGTTTTTCCCTCAGTCTACTGTAATTTTATAACGATATGTCGAACTCCGCCATTCCCACGACGGGCGGTGTGCAATCAAACGAACGCTGGCCAGATGAAGTTACATTTGCATGGATGCATTTTACATATTTGTGCGTAAGTCTCGTTTGACGCGAATGTGTATTTCCACGGTTAATATTTACCTTAATGCTACAGAAATAGGTGTAATTTATTGTTGTTTTTGTTACTTCTGGGTAGAAGTTTTTAAAAAAAACATATTTCGTTTAAAATGTCGTTGTCGGCTTTCGAGATGAAATCTCGTAAAATCTAAATATCTCAAGATTTAAGTGAAATTTAAGCGCTGGCAGTTACATCAATTATTAAGATCCAAGGAATAAATTTTATTTTTACAAATATATTTGCAACGGGAAATCTTTGTTATACCGTTTAGCCTAAAGACAACCAGCCTACACTTGTATTATTATAAAGCGAGTAGTGCAGACGAGTTGGAATAGCGCAATAATTTGCTTAACATAATAATAATTTGCAAGCGACACCCACATGATTTCTTTTAACCACTTTCACTTATTGTGAATTGTTTCCTAAGCCATATTGTCTTGATGGAACTGATATCAATTTATGTACTGCAAATGACCTTTGTGTTATATACGTATATATAAAGATATATTTTTTATTAAAATTGAGAAGTATTCCTATGAGAATACAGCAAAATAGTGTGCGCAATAGTTGTCTATTCTAATGTTCAAGTATTAACATTGTCAAACTTTACAATAGCTACTAGTCATTACTAAAATAACACTTAACTGCTTATTGTTAAAGATGCGTGCGTCACAATTTACCGTTTTAAAAGGAATCGAGAATAGTTAAGATATAATATGGCAGAAATAACGAAGCGTTTGCTATCAATACACAATTAATTAATTAATTTAGGAAGAATCGCTGTATATTTTGCTTTTCCTGCACTAAACTGTGCACTTGGCATATGTAGCTTTTTATAGTTTAATAGATTTAAAATCGTGGTATGTTAATCACTACATAGTATAAAACAAAGTCTTCCGGCATTCTGTCCGTCCCTATGTATGCTTAGATCTTTAAAACTACGCAATTTGATACGCGACTTTTTTTTTACAAGATAGAGTGATTCAAGAGGAAGGTTTATATTTATAATACATTGTACCCTTGCGAAGTCGGGGCGGGTCGTAGTAATTCTATATACCTTTCTGTTATATGACAAGTTGTGTTATATTTTTTTATTTACGCATTACTTAACGTAAATAAAAAAATGTGATTGTCTCGTTAGTCATGAAAGGGATGGGGTAACATAAAAAGTCGCATATGAATGACTTCGAGCGGCCGTAATTTGGCATTAAAATGTCGGTGGAGCTCAAAGTCATTTTCGGTTCACATCTCGTACGGTATTTGCAGCGGTTTGGATAAACCGTTACATTAACTGCTCGTGTAGCCGGTGCTTTTTTCCCCTCGTTTATTATCGGACAGATTTAAATCGTGTCGCTCACTCGTTGCGCGGCCCTTCACAAAACTTGATTTGCATACTGGGTTGTTTCAAACATTGATTAATCAAATGGACATCCTATATTCGCCGATTTCGAAGTTGTAACATTTTCCATTGGCAGTGAAGTCAACGCTTCTAACGTGTAATGACTAAGACGGTGACCGAAGAATTTACATTACCTTCAAACAATAGACGTGTTTGTCGAAGAATTCCTTGGAGATAACGATTTTGTCGTAAGAATCTTTTAATTGTTAAAAGTATATTTTAATGCATTTGACTAAGTAGCGAATTACAATAATTATGAATCATTTATTTTGATAAATAAACGTAAATGCAATTTTAGAGGAATAAATAACAAAACTCTGTCCACGCCTTTGTTTTATATGCGGTTTCATATTAAGGATGAAAATATTTCAATTTTTTTTATTCCCCTTAATTATCCCCGTTTTATCCCTTTCAGATTCATTCACAATCGATCACGTTCGAATAGTTAAAGTATATCTGTCGGAATTATTGCTAGTAGCCATAATTGAGTCTTGAAATCCGTAAAAGCCAATGAAAACTAATTATACATCGGTGGACAGTGAAATCTGTTCGTTGAATGTCATCGAGTCAAAGTTCAACTCGGAGAGGGACAAGAACTTTTGCGTAATACAACGAGCATGTTTATGCTCTGAATAGATATATCCTTCGTGCAGAGATTGTGTTCGTACATTTGCGCTGGTTGAGGCGGGCTGCATTGATAGCGGATAGATAACCTATGTTCTAATATTGAGGCCGAAATGCCCAATCGCGATTACATACAATATTTATGTTACTGTGATACTTGCCAGCTGGATGAATAATTCACTGTTACGACGTATTCCGAGGTACGTGAATTGCCGCTTGCATTTATGAGCGCCTTTTTTGATTTTAGCAAATCTGCACACCGATGGACCACAATGCTTACAGATTTGAGCGATTCTATACGATTTTTACCTGTTCGTTTAATAAAAGAGCATC